AATATTTCTACAAAACCATCCTCCAGCCAGCCAGTGGAATTGCCCTCCCTTTTGCTGCCTTCCACCTGATTTCATCCCTCATCTAAAGAGGTTGGATACGGTGCTTCCCTGGCACAGCAGGGACACCACTGGCTCCCCCCTGGCCAGAGGTGGGGCAGCAGCAAATCCCGGATTTAGGGAGACCCTCATCCCGTGCTTCCTCAGCAGCTGCTGTGGCCCCTCAGCAGCAGGGCCAGGTTGTGCCGTGTTCTTGCTGGTGAGTGTGGGAGCAGGACCCATGGTTTGGGCCCCAAGCAAAGCTCAGCAAAGCTCTCAAGTGGACTTTTACAGGTGAGAAATTACCTGTCCCCAAAATCACAGCTCTTCCCAGCAGGGTCACGGTGCCCAGCACCAGCGCAGAGCAGAGGCAGATGGAAAGGAGGAGGATGAGGATGACGAAGGCTCTGCGAGCAGCAGGGAGTGGGTCCTGCGGGCATTCCCAGCTCTTCCCCTCGCTGAGCCGCCCCCAGCCCCCCGGCAGTTCCGAGCTGCCTAATTAGCTCTGCCTGCTCCCAGCGCCGTCCAGCTGGAGCCGGAGGGCAGGGGCACACAAAAGCCTCGCTATTGACAGCCCCTCCGAGGAAGGGGCTTTTCTTCTCCCCCTCGCTTTTCTTTTCAAGCCCCTCTCCCCCCTCCTTGGGCCGGGGCCACGGGCTCATTAGCACTGGGGCTCGCAGGATGGAGCAGCAGATGGCAGCCAGGCGGCCCCGCGGAACAGATGCCCGGCCAGCCAGGGGAGATTAACGGGGCTGGGGGGCAGCGGCACGGCAGGGCTGCCGGCGGGGCTCCCTCCCCGCCCGCACACCCCCCACATCCCTGCCGAGGATGGGGGCGCACGCTGGGGAATCGCGGCCGCCAAAGGGAGCCAGAGGTTGGCATGGCCAAAAGTGGCTGCAGAGGCCACAGGAGATCCGCAGCTGCTTCGTGCACCCTCAGAGGATACCGAGACCTCCGGCACTGCGGTGCCCTGGCTGCTCCTGCCGTGTCCCAGGGCAGCGGGCAGCGGGTGACACGGCACCCTTGTCCCAGCAGCACCCAGGACACGGCACCCTTGTCCCAGACTCCTCTCCAAGATCACCCGCGACGGCAAACTACGGCTTAATCCCACCTCAGCAGCACATCCCTCCCCCTCCGCGCACGGCGCATCCCGGGGGATTAAGGGTTAAAGCACAAATCCCCAGCGCTGCCCTGATGTGACCCACTTAGACCATCTGGCACGGAGGGATGCAGGAGCCTCCTCTGTCTCAGCGGCTGCCCCGGGAGCTGACACCAGCACCCGCAGGCCCAAACGTGGATTTTGGCTGAGTTTCTGGAGACAGGGCAGCTCATGCCAACAGTACCGTGGCTGGCAGTGTGGCAGCAGAGAACTAAACCACCCCCTGAATCATCCCACAAGCCCTCACGCTCCCACCAGCTCCAGTTCCTGGGGCACCCTGGAGCATCTCCTGCCTGGATGTCCCCAGGTCCCGGCACTGGTGCTGATGGAATTCTCAACAGTGCTGGAGCAGTCGGGCTTCCAGGTGGGACAGGGCTCCCAGCCCCGTGCTGTGCCCGAGGTCACGGCCAGGGAAGAGATGCAGACAAAAGCCCAGCCCAGAGGGAGTAAAGCAGATCCTGCTCTGGGGCTGGGGGACAGCATGGTGTTCATACCCATCCCCAGAGGCCGGTGGCACCTTAACACAGCAGGTTTTAGAAGCATTTTCAGTTCACCAGAGCCAAAGCCCCATCCTCATGGCCCAGTGAGAGACACTGAGGGCAGCCTGGTTTGGCAGAAGGGCTCAGGCAGGGTAGGTGGTCCCTGTCCCAGACCCCATCCCTCCCCAGCACACTGGGCACAAAACCCTCTCAAATCACAGCGGGATTTTGCACATGCTGGAGCAGTTCCCCTGCAAAGGCAGGCTCTGGGTCAGCCTCAGCCTCTCCTCACCACACAGCTCCTCACCCTCAGCTGCACAGCAGAGCCCCACCAAGCCCTGTGTGGGGAAAGGTTAATTGGAAAAGCCCCTTTCCCCATCACCTCGGTTTTCCCTTTCACTCTGCAAACTGGTCAATAATCCATTTACTTTGGCAGAGCTCTGCTCTGGGCACAAAGCTGTCTGGGGGGCTGGATTCCATGCCCCCCCAGCCCCAGCAGGAGGGAAGGTATTAATGCACTCTTTTGTTCCAGGATGAACCGTGGGTTTAGCAAAGCTTTAACCCTCCCAACCTCCAAGACAGCTTGATGGGAATTTAGATGGAAGATGCTTTACCTGCAGAAGCAGCAGGAAGGGAGTGGTGAGGGATGGGGCAAGGGGAAAAAGCATCACTGTCTGTCCAGGTAACCCCATTGCTGCCCCACAAGGATGCAGGATTGGGCCCTTAGCCATTCTCAGGGCACCCTGCAGGATGCTTTGGGCTATGGACACTGTGGGGGAATCCCTGGCAGGACCCCCATGGTGCAGCTGAGCCCCTTGACACTCCACAAGGGCACAGGAAAACTGATGGGAGGTGGGCAGTGCTGGCCTAGAAACCATGGCAGCGTCTCCACTGCTGTGGGAAGCACGGGGCCGGATCCAGGGCAGGGTGTTTGCAGGGGACCAGCTGTCAAGTGTGGGAGAAAACAGCAATCCAGATGGTCATCTTAATATTTCATTTGGCTAACTGGTTTCTCCATCTCCTCTCTGGCACCACAGTCATTTGCTCTTAAATTAGTCGGGAGTATCGTCAGGGAAGGGAGGCTGGTCCAAGCAGTGGCGCAGCGAAACCTTCCGGAAAAACAAACCCAGAGCAGAGCCAGGCACGGAGACCACTACAAGAGGAGCTGCTGTGAGCCCTGGGTCTGTTCTCTCCATGGATAGAGAGCAGAAGCTTGGCTCTGGCTACTGCTGGACCAGGAGCCTAGGGCCAGCTTGGGGACATCACCGTGCAGCCAAAGGAGCCGCTGCAAAGCCCCTGGGGGTGTGAGATGTGGCACTCAGAGGTGTGATCCTGCCCAGACGGCAGCTCGGGCTCCTGGCAGAGCCCCGTGGGACGCGAGCTGAGCCGGCAGCATGGATGAGAAGAGCTGGGAACTGCAGCATCTCTGTCCCTGCAGCATCTCTGTCCCCGCAGCTTTGGTGGCAGCCCCTGGAGTGGCTGAGCCCCTCCGTGCCCGGGCAGGGCGAGCACAGCGAGTGCCCCGCGGAGCCTGGCTGGGCTGGCCCCGCTCTGTGCAGCTGCCACAGCCCTGGAACAGCCCCGGGCCGGCAGGACACACCGCCAGGGGACAAAAGGAGCCGGGCTGCACTGACCGGACAGCGGAGCACAGCCCAGAGTGGGCACCTGGGTCTGCTGGTGCCCACCACAAACCACAGCAAAGCCGGGCTGGCTCTGTTCTGTGCCCAGAGCTCTGCACTGTTTCACTGCCGCCGGAGCTGTCACTACCAACAGCACGGAGCCGTGCTCACATTTGGGAACTTTTTAATGGATCTGCAAACACCCCGAGCCGCGGTGCTCAGCCCCACCACGATGTCTGTGCCATCCAAACTGCTGGCTAGATAGAGCCAGGCAGCATTCCTGGCACCCAGGCTGGCTGTATTTCCACAAAATCTGAATTTGTTGCCTTATTACATCTCCAACTGCAAGATATTTAAGCTCACTGAGGAACCTCCAGGCAGGAGTGTGAGTGTGAGCCAGCCCTCAGCCCTTCAGGTGCCGACCCTACCCGATGCACAGATGGAGAAAAACACAGAGGTTCCCCTCTGCCACAAAGGCTGAAGCCCTGCAAACACTGCCTGTGGAAACAGGAGTTGCTCTTCTCAACTGGAGGCTGAACCCATGCCTTTCCCATTTTCCTACCTAGATTAATGGAAATCAGAGAGGTTGGAAACATTCATGCTCAGCAGCTGGGCTGCAGGGCAGAAGGGACCCCATCCCCACTGTGGTGTGGCTCACAGCCTCCACTGGCACGGGAAGCATCTGAAAAGGCTCATTTCAAAGGATCTCTCTCCTCCCTAGGACAGGCTGAGCCCCCAGCACCCAGACTCCTGCAGACTGAGCCCCTCTCCCCTACAGACACAGCACCTCCACGAACTTTGGCTGGTTCCCCACGGCAGCTGGGCAGGACCCGGCAGAGGAAAAACAGAGCAAAGAGAGAGGAGAGCCAGCAAAAGAGTCCTTTGTTTATAAAAGCAGCACAAATAGGATATTATTAACAAATACTGATACAATCAGCAAAATAAAGGTGGTCTAAATTAGAGTGTGCATGGCTGTGAGGAAGCCACACGGACTTTTGCCTGGCAGAGAGGCTCAAGGGGTACCTGCAGCCCCCTCGCCTCTTTTCACAGGTTTCTCTGTTGCTCAGCCTCTGTCAAACATGGGGGCATTGACTTTCCTGGAGCAGGAGGACAGAACAGGTGCTGGGTGAGGGAAGTCAAGGCTGCTTGGCTGTGGGACGTGGGGGACACCATCCCCAGAGCTGTCCCTGTCCGTGGCAGCGACCAGGCTGCTTGCACTGTGTGTCCCTGGGGGTCACCAGCTTCCCCTCGGTGACAAGGCAGGGTCCAGCCCTAGGGGCTGTTTCTCTCCCCAAGCTTCACCTTCCCAAGGGTCCGAGGTGAAGGGCTGACACAGAGACAAGGCCACCAGCAGGACACACACCCCAGGGCTCTGCACAACGGGGATGGAGCTGGTCACACTTTCCAGCTAATGCCCCTCACCACTGTGTAGCCCGGCTAGAGCTTTGCAGACCCTCACCCTGCTCCCAGGCTCCAAAGTTTCCCAAACCTGCTCAGCTCTGGAGCACAGCAGCTGCCCAGGGAGGGGGCTCAGCCAGCCAGCACCCCCAGCCCCAGCCATGGGGAGGGTGCCCCGGCTCCTCCAGCCACCAACAGCTGGTGGCAGGGAGACACGCTCAGGACTCTCCTTACGGTGGGAGAAGGACTAGAGATGGAGAAGGACGCAGGATCTCCCAGACCCCCCTCCCCTGCCCCGGCAGCCCTTACCTGGGCAACGGCTTGCGGGCGGTGATACTGGCCACGATGATGCTCTCGGGTCGCGGCGTGGCCACGGCTTTGAAGGTGCCTCTCCAGAACTTCTCGAAGAGCTGCTTCTCTCCCTGCTGC